CCATGCAGCCCTGGTCCCGCCGCCTGCCCTCTCTGATCTCCGCTGCCGGACAGCCCCGCTGCCCCCAACCCTGCTTCCGCCACCCGCCCGCCTGCCCACATGCCCGGATCTCCACGGGACAACCCCGCTGCCCCCAGCCCTGCTATCGCCGCCCACCCGAATCTCTGTGGAACAGACCTGCTGCTCCCAGCCCTGCTTTGGCCACCCGCCCGCCTGCCCGGATCTCCACCGGGACAGCCCCACTGCCCCCAGCACTGCTTCCCGGGAGCCGGTTCCTCCCCCCCAGCCCGCCCCGCTCTGCTCCCCTCCTGACAGCCATGCTGAGGCCCGGTGTTTTTTCCCACGGCCCGTAGTCTGGGCCGCGGCCCATAGTTTGGGAAACGCTGACCTAGGGCACCAGTTGTTGGCAGCTAGTCTTGGTCTGCCCCTGTGTGACAGTGTTACTTTCTGTTATGCATTCAGCTACTTTATTGTTAATTTGCTATTATATGCGTTTGGTGCCAGACATGGCAGAATCTCTGCCTAATGTAACTTCCAGACTAAAGGCATGAAAGAGTTCCAGAAAACTATGGAAAACAACATTTATGCCCTTAAGATATCAGCACATGATGTGAGTAATGTTTACATAATGAGTTGACCCTCAGTTTGGCATTTTTTGACACTGAATAAACTAGACTCTTAATTTCTTTTTACTTAGTCCTGTACCTTGTGATTTCATAGAAAACACAGCCAGAGCTCCACATGTCCATTTTGTAGCTATAGTAGCCATCTGTGAGCAGACACTCAGGTGCTCGGTACCAGCGTGTAGAGATGTATTCTGTATATGGCTGCTTGGAATATATACTTCTACAAGATCCAAAGTCTCCTAACTTCAAGGTATCTTGCTGCAAAAAAAATCAAAAACACAAAAAACTTGTTATGTAGTCCAATAAATTAGAAAACAGTCAAATACTGAAGCAAAAGCAGAAATATTGAACCAACAATTATAAATCTAATTATAGTTAGCTTTAGGTACTAACTTTTCCAGCTCCCTTTTTTAAGAGAAAAGAGGTGATCTGGAACGTCAAATTGCATGTCTGTGATTAATTGTTAATTAAAGCCTATTCTCCAAAGAAACCAAATGGTGTTTATCAATGAAGCATATCTCAGCTATGTTACATGTTTCATTACGGTAACACAATTTAAAGGGCAGTTTTACAATTTAAGTGCCTTTGAATTTAAGGCCATTGATGGCCCATAGTACACATTCGTATCTTTCTGTATATTTTCACACAAAAAATTAGAACTAATCTTTAATAGTAAAATATATTAGCTAGTCTTGAAGGGAAAAAGTTGCTGAATGTGACCTATGTAGGTGAAGTTATTTTCTTGGTGTCCTCATTTTTAGCAGTCACATGATAAGGTATTTTTCTGGCTTTTCTTTGTATTAGTTCCTCTTCCTCCTACTGGTTTCTCTTTGAACATGCTGAGGACTTTGAAACAGTAAAATCTCTCCCATAAAAATAAACAAACTGAATTCTGACAATAACACTACTAAACAACTCTGGAAAAAATGGGCCTTTTGCCATCATTTGATAGTTTTTAAATGTGGGAGTCTTTCAAAAACAAAATCAACTGAAGGTCTCCTTCTACAATTATGTGAACAACTTCTGTCGACAATAGGAGTTAAACATCAAGAGGCCCAGCAGGATTGAGTCCCATCACTTGTTTCAGATATAGCACAGAAAGGAAAAAAGACAGATTTAATTGTTCATATATTATTGTTTGCTTTCAGGCTTAGTTCAGATGTAAGATTTCCAGCTATAGAACAATAGAAACCATTTATACTTTTAGCCAATAGCAATAGAAAACATTTGTTCATTCACCATTCAAGAAGGGCACAGACTAAGCTATATATGTAAGAGTCACCTCTATGACTATGAAAATTATACCTCACATTTACAAAGATACATTAGTGTCTCAGAATAAACAGACACATATATATAAAATGTACTTACACTTTCAGTTAAGTGATCTTTCAAAACTACTTACCTTTATTAATATATTTTCTGGTTTCACATCTCTATGAAATATTCCATTTCTGCATCAATATAAAAATACCAAAACGAACTCAATGGAAGTATGAGCATATTCACAATGTTTCTAATTATTTTAGGTGATATTTAATTATAAGCATATGGCATACTTCTCGCAAGGTTACTGTTGAATTTAGTGTCTTACCTGTGCATGTGATCAAGGGATTTGCATAACTGGTACATGTAGTTCATTATTTTTTTTTCAGGTAATGGCTTTCTCCTCCCTAGAATTTGGAACAGTAAAATGAAATTTCAAGTTGTACAAATGCTTTATATCAGTAAGTATACAAAAGTAGTAACATTTACTTTTCAGCTTCTAATAATGAATCTATATTCCCTTCTGCATGATTGGAAGAATTTGGTTAACATTTTTACATTTCTCATACAAAAATAACATCACTGTAATCAGCATTTCATTTGAACTAGGACATAAGGTGAAGACAAATTTCAGAATTCACCAGAATAGCTTGATAAATACAGTTGTGGCTTTGTTTATAAACTGTCAATTTTGGTATTGCATGATTTTTCTTGGTGCAGGGAGGGATTCTCCTGCAGATGATTTGTGAGTATTATGAATGGTAATGTAATATATCTATCCCCCATCCCTGTATAATAGCAAGAATATTTCACTCCAAAATTATTGGTAACCCTTACTTCCTATGTAACCACTAAAGTAATGATGCATAAAGTTCAAGGTTTAGAAAGGATATAATCCTCTATAAATGCCCAAGGTTTCTTATTCCTGTTTTGGTATGTGAATTACAGAACAACCTGTTCACTTCAGTGCATGTTACTGACATAGGTAAGACTGCTGAAAATCACAACTATTCCATGTTTGTTGAGGGTCCCGAAGACATCTAATAATCATTTAGATTGTTTCCTTTACATGCCCTCTTGAACCTTTCTGCTTTGCTATAGTTCCTCTAAATAATGCTGTATTGTTTATAATATCATTAATACAAAGAGAAAGTTAGCAAATTTCTGAGAAAACTTAGTGACTCTGGTTAAACAAGTTTTAAAATTAAAGTTATTTAACCATTCATTAACTAAAACTAACTTTAGATTTAAAATACTACTTAGTTATATGGCCAAATATGTTACTGCAACCTTTGGATTTTCTGTCTATACTCATTTTTTGCCAGGTAGAACTGTTTGCCACATAAAAATAAATGTTAAACCTAAAAGAGTAAGATAATAAAAATTGCATTTATTGGCATTTATATGGTCCCCATTACTATAGTATCTGAGTACTTACTCCCCTTTGACAGATGATGAAACTGAAGCTAAAGGTGCAGTGAATGGCTTTCCCAAGGTCACACAGGAAGTCTACAAATGAGCCAGCTACAGAATCAAGATTTCCAGATTGTTGGTCCAGTGCCTGAACCACAAGATGATTCATCCTCTTGTTGATGTAAGAGTTCACTGTAACACAATTTTAAGGCTAACTTGCAAATTTTTTTCAGAATTCTGCAGAGGATTTTTTTTAAAAAAATAATCAGATTGGATCCTTTTTACCTTGTTAATGTGTATCAAGGCCTGAAATATTTCCTTCATTTATTTTCTGCTTTAAAAAAACCCTATTAAGTATCAGGAATGTTAAATCTGGTCTTTCTTGATTTTGCTAGAGGACCTGTTGTACATCTAATCTGGTCATGTATATTGTGAGCTCTCACACATTATTTGAAAGGGCTGGGGTTCAAATCTTAATATGTTGAATATTCCAGAATGTTAATTACTGAAGGTAATGTGTATGTTAATAAAAACAGTTTTTTATACTATGAGGGTATGTCTACACTACCCCGCTAGTTCGAACTATCGGGGGTAATGTAGTCATCCGCAATTGCAAATGAAGCCCGGGATTTGAATTTTCTGGGCTTCATTTGCATGAAGCCGGCCGGTGCCATTTTTAAATGCTGGCTAGTTTGAACCCCGTGCCGCGTGGCTACACGCGGCACAGAGTAGCTAGTTCGGATTAGGCTTCCTAATCCGAACTAGCTGTACTCCTCATTCCACAAGGAGTACAGCTAGTTCGGATTAGAAGCCTAATCCGAACTAGCTACTCTGTGCCGTGTGTAGCCGCGCGGAACGGGGTTCGAACTAGCTGGCATTTAAAAATGGTGCCGGCCGGCTTCATGCAAATGAAGCCCGGGAAATTCAAATCCCGGGCTTCATTTGCAATTGCGGATGACTACATTACCCCCGCTAGTTCGAACTAGCGGGGTAGTGTAGACATACCCTGACTGACTAAAGATTCCTTCCCCAATAAACTGCTTGCTTTCATTCTCTTGACCCTTGACGTTTTTAGTTTGATAATTCATTCTATCCGTAGTTAACTATTCTTTAGTGCCTACGTCACCTAGGAACACAAATCTAACAAAATGACAAGCATTTCTCAGAATTCCATGTTAGTTTCCATCACCCATAATTGATATAGATTAGAAAACAATGCTTAAAACAGTGGGCCATGCTTCTCCTGTTGGTGCAGGTACTCCACCTCCCCAAGAGGTCAGCAGTTATATCAACAGGAGAACCCCTCCCATTGACAAAGCACTGTGTACACTAGGGAATTTTCCACACCCTTGAGCAATGTAGTTATACCAGCATAATTTGGCAGTGTCGACTGACCGTAAGTCAAGTAATCAAATCCATCCTCATCCACACACCAGGCTAAGGAAAGTAGTTCAGAACACTAATATTTCTATTCTGGGATGCATTAACAGGAGTGTTGTAAGCAAGACATGAGAAGTCATTCTTCTACTCTACTCTACACAACTCCTTGGCTACGTCTACACTACATGCTTCTTGCGCAAGAAGCCTTTTGTGCAAGAGTTTTTGCACAAAAAATACTTGCGCAAGAGCACGTCCACACCTCAAAGCACATCGCATTTTGTGCAAGAGAACGTCCACACCACATGGACGCTCTTGTGCAAGAAAGCTCTGATGGCCATTCATAGAGTGGCCTGTGCTTTTTCCCATAGGGGTTTCTTGTGCTCGACACTCTGGAGCATCCACACTTGCCTTTTTGCGCAAGAACTCTTGCGCAAAAGCGAGTTATGCCTCGTAAAAGGAGGTTTATCTACGGTGAAAAAAGCTCTGTTTTACTCTTGATTTCCTTGCTCAAAAGCGCATTTGAGGTATGGACGCTTGACGGGTTTTTGCGCAAAAAAAGCCCTCGTAGTGTAGACATAGCCCTTGTGTGGATGCTGTGACAGGTTCAGGCTGGAGGACTACAATAGTTAGAGAGAAAGGCACCTCTAAAAGGCAGCAACAGCCCTGGTTAATCAGGAGCAAAGGAGATAGTGCTGCTGTAAATCAATCAGAGCCATCTGTTCTCACCTGAGGCTGCTGAAGAGCCTTTTAAATGGAAAGGGGGGTGGGGAGGAGAGGAAGTGGAGTGAGAGAAGACCAGAGCAGATAGGAGATAACATTGGATAACAACATTTCATTCTCCCAGCTTCAAGTCTTAAGTGAATTTCAACCCAAAAGAGCCAAAATTGATCACCTTGACACAGCAAGTGTGTCTACTGATCTCTGTGGCAAAGTAGGTATGTCTATATAAATAAGGTCTGCTTCTGAAGCCTTTTCCTACAGTTGATTAACAGATGGCAGTAGATAGCTCATTCAGACCACTGGCTGATAATAGTCCCCCTGACCAGTCACTAACCATAGTCATGGACTCGCCCTACTCTCCATTGTCTCTATGATTCTTTGATGACCTGTGACAAAAAAGGAGGGTGGAAAGGGAAACTGAAGGGAGAGACCTCTCTAAATTCACCAATCAAAGAGCAGTATTGCCAACCCAAAAATCACAAGGAACACCTACACAAAGTTATGAGAATGGTCTACAAATCATAAGATTTTTTTAAAATAAAATATGTTGGATTTTTATTGGCCTTTTGTTTCTAATGTCAGGTTCAGGTTTTAAAGCTTTCCTCCTTAGCTGTAAGGCCCAGAAGTATAGAGAACTTTTTCTAAATGAAAGCTGAGATTCCTACATAATCAATTGACTCCAGGCCTTTAGAAAAACACCAAATGTTTTGAGACTCATGGTAAAACAATGGAGGAATTCTTGTGAGCCCATGCTTTGCCCACAATATAAATTTTAAAAAAAACCAATATCTTCTCCACTAAACATCCTAATGAGATACTGCAAATGGTGAACTGAATTCAACAGCTCCTGATATGAACAGGTATTAACCTAGTTTTTCATATTTGAGATGGGATACCAGGAATCATATATGACAATATGAAATCTTTCCACTCTCAAGTCAGCATATTCACAAAGCACCTATAATTTTGATCCATGCATTTATGGGATAGCGAAAGAGAAAGGAGGGCAATTAGTGTAGATAAATGTTCAAATTAAAAAAAAAAAGCCTGAAGGAATTAGGACTGGGCTCCTACATCTCACATTCAGAACTGACTAGGACACTTCTGACCAGATGTTCAAAGGTGCGTAAAGATCAGATAGGTATCTTTGAAGATCCGAGTTGGCAACTGTCTCTTTAGGAGCTTTATTACCTTTGACAATCTGAGCTTAGATTTCCAAGTCCAATTTTCAAAAGTGACTTTAGTCACTCAAGTGCTTTTCAAAATTTTAACTGGGAGCTTAAAGAGACAAAAATAGACAAAAGGATGAAAAGCAATGGGCTTAAATTGCAGCAAGGGAGGTTTAGGGTGGACTTCCTGCCTGTCAGGGTGTTTAAACACTGGAATAAATTGCCTAGTGAGATTGCCTAGTGAGATTGTGGAATCTCCATCACTGGAGATATTTAAGACCAGGTTCGACAGACACCTTTCAGGGATGAGCTAGGGCAACTCAACTTTGGAAGCCCCAAGGGCCACATTGATACTTATAGAACATGCTGAGGGCCTCAACTTAAGTGTGGTTGCTTATGCAAGCAAATATATACAAATAGCTTCTCTCACACTGACAGGTATGAATACAAAGATTAAGGCAAGACTACACAACACACAGGCCCCGTTTAAGTCAGTTCTGCTGATATTAATAAAATGCAATATCTACCCAATTTCTACCCATGAGACAGCACTTTTCATGAGCAATGACAGTCCAAGAATTTAACTACTAAAACACATATCAACAGAAGATAATTACACTGACTACTTTTTTGTTTTGGCTTCCACTTGCTGGCCACATGTTGATCCCCACATAAACCCAAACTGCACCGTGGGGCGCAAACTATGTTATTAATAAATATTTTATAAACCTTTACCTTCTCTCTCTGCTGCCATGTCTCCTCTCCTTGCTCCATCATCTCCCCAGTGCCTGCTGCCCCCCAACTCCTCACCCTCCTCTGCTGTCCTGACTCCTGCCCTTCTCATGGCCCTCAACCCTCCTGCGACCTGCCCCCTTCCACCAGCCATTCTCTCCCCCTGTGCCCACTCCTCCAGTAGCCCCACTCTGATCATGTGAGCTACCTCTCTTCTAACACCTCCCTCTACACACCTGCCCTGTCTCTCTCCTCTGGTGCTGGTCCCTCCCCTGCAGAAGTCTGCCCTTCTGCTTCACCCCAGAATCCTCTGGCACCTGCACCTTCCCTTAGCCCTGCACCCTCCTGGTGCCTCCCCCTTCCCTTACTGCCCCTGTCCCCTTTTTACCTCGGATATGGTAATATCTACCTCCTTATCTTAAGTCCCATTTGTTAACTTACCATTATCCCTAAGCGCTTCATTAGCCTCATTAAAGACTGAAGCAAAGTATTTGTTCAAATATTGGGCCATTCCTAGATTATCCTTAACCTCCACTCCATCCTTAGTAATTAGCATCTCCCTGAGGATGAGTAGGGGGGCCAGCAGAGGGTGTCCGGGGCCCGTTCTAGGCAGAGCCAGGGGAGAGACCCAGCTCCACATATTGCTGGAGCAGGACCCCGGCTCTGAATAGTAACTCACTGGAACTTCTGGGTTCAGGGGTGCAGGGCCCCCTTAGGCACGGGGCCTGATTCGGTCGAATCAGCCTAAGGCCAGCCCAGCCTGGAAACTCTTCCTAGGGTCCTAATTCATACATTGAAAAATAGCTGTTCTATTATCAGAAGCTAATAAGCAATGATACAGATCACAAAGAAAGTTCCAGGAAGTAATGTGACAGACTTCTTATATAGGGATAAGTTCAGCAGAAGCTACAGAGGAGAGGTCGGCAACCTTTGGCACGCGAGCTGATTTTCAGTGGCATGAGTCCACAGCAGGAGCTCAGCTCCCCCTCCAGAGCCCACACAGCTGTAAGGCTTGGAGCACCAGCTCCAGCTTCTGGGCACAGAGAAGGAGGGGAGGTGAAGAAAGCCCTGACTCACATGTTCCCCAACCCATCTCCACCGAGTGCCACGGGGACCCTGTGCAGAGCCGGGACAGCTCCCCCTACAGAATCGAGACACCCCTCCCCTCCAATATGTGTGTGCCGTTGCTTCTCTGCCTACCCCAGCTCCCTTGGCATGCAAAGGAGCTGGGAGAGAAGGAAGCAATGGGGTGGGAGTCTGCCTCCAAGAACTACCCCAGCTCTCCGCCCACTTTCACCAGGCTGTACAGGGGACCCCACAGAGTGCCCCCCCATGGGAGGAGTGGGGAAATTGGGTCCAGGGTTGGGGGAAGTGTGGCCTGGGGTGAGAAGGTAATGGGGGAATTGGAGACTGGGGAGTGATGGGGTCAGGATCAGAGGGTTGGGGGG